ATTATGCACAGTTGGAGCTCTTCCTCGGGTTCGACGCTCACTGGAGCAGTTATGCCGTCGTCGATTACCTCCGTGGATTTGGGGAGCTCTTCCTCGGGATTAGGGACGTCAGGTAGGACTGATGCAGTCACCATGAAAAGAACCGGCTCGTCCTCCTCGGATTGAGCCACATGGGCCTTCTCGGCCGTCTCCTTGTTCCTAAGCTTGCGCTCCAGCAATTCTTGCTCAGGTGACCTCTCCTCCCACAGTACAAGCACTGGATTGGCCCGTCATCAGTCGACTCCTTCTTTTGATCCGCCTCTTTCCCGCGCATGCGACCGCGATATTTTCATGGCTTCTTACCGCCTCTACGGCTGGAGGGCCGGTTGCTCTCGCCGGTGTTGTCGCGGAGCTTTAGGCGTGCAAGTCATTCTTCCTCAGTGAGGAGTAGACGACCCTCATTGTCGACAACTAAAGCGAACATTTTTCTTCCGCTGCTCGACGTTACGCAGTCTTCCGGTCACCTCTTCCACCGTTAAGTGCTCCAGCAATTCTTGCTCAGGTGACCTCTCTTCCCACAGTACGAGCACTGGATTAGCCTGTCATCAATCGACTCCTTCTTTTGATCCGCCTCTTTCCCGCGCATGCGCCAGCAAGATTTCCATGGCTTCTTATTGCTTCTACGGCTGGAGAGCCCGTTGCTCTCGCTGGTGTTGTCACGGAGCTTTAGGCGTGCAAGTCATTCCTCCTTAGTGAGGAGTAGACGATCCTCATCGTCGACAGCTGAAGCGGCATTTTTCTTCCGCTGCTCGACGTTACGCAGTCTTCCGGTCACCTCTTCCACCGTTAATTCGTTCACGTCGAGCAATGTCTCAATTGAAATCGCGACTTGCTCGAGGTGATCTCACCGTCCTTAAAGCTGATCTCAGAGAGCTCCTTCTGCAGCTGCTCGATGTTGGATTCCCGCACTCGCTGTACACCGACCCGACGAGATTTAATTCCCTCCCAGGCCGATTGCGCGGTGCATTTTTGGTGAAGAGAGACGCCAGCATCTCTGGGGTCACAGACCGTAATATGGCTGCGAACGCCAGCCGATCCTCCCGGTACTCGATCATTTCTCCTTCCTCTGGCTCGACAACGTGCCATAACCCTTGCGCTTGTAGGTTGACGCGCATCAACAAGGCCCACTCGTTGTAGTTGGACCTTGTCAACATCGGGTACTGAACGATGGCGGTTGTTATCTCCCTGACCACTCGCTCAACGACAACAACTTGACGCTCGTCATCACGGCGTCGGCCTCTTTCGTGGCGGTGATGGAGATGCCGGCACTTGGCGGCGGCGTGAAGGAGTGAGCGAGCCTGCTCTGGATGGATCCCACGATGTGTGTATTTTCGTGCTTTGCATTTTCTTCTACAAGAACCTGAGATCTGTGCATTGTTAGGTCAACGCTCTAACCACTTGAGCTATTCAACTTGACTATTGATAAGATTGGCTTCTCCGAAATGATATACCACCGATGGCTTCAACTTGGCTCTGATACCACTTGTTGTTTTGGACAATCGGCAACTGAAATCTTTTCGGAGAGAAAATCGTTTGAGGGGAAGTTGTTGGAAGAATGCGAAAAAGAATGGCGAGAGAGATAATTATTTTGAAGACTTTTGATTAAAATGAGCGCTTATTTCTAAACATGTGCCACTTATTTCTAAGTTACCCTAAGGGGGAGAGTGGCCAACTAAATATGTGCCACTTTCTACAAAATTATAAAATTACCATCTAAAACGATTCAATAACTAATGAAAATGTGTAAATCTAATCTGGAAAAAATCTCAGGTTTTATAACTCCCTCTCCCTCTCCCTCTCCATCCATCTCCGTTTTTGGAATCTCCCTCTCCCTCTCCCTCTCCCTTCATCTCCATTTCTGGAATCTCCCTCTCCCTCTCCCTTCATCTCTGTTTCTGGAATCTGAATCTCCCTCTCCCTTAATCTCCATTTCTGGAATCTGAATCTCCGTCTCCGTCTCCGTCTCCCTCTCCCTTCATCTCCGTTTCTAAAATCTCCATCTCCGTCGCCCTCTCCCTCTCCCTTCATCTCAGTTTCTAAAATCTCCATCTCCGTCTCCCTCTCCCTCTCCCTTCATCTCCGTTTCTGGAATCTCCCTCTCCCTCTCCCTCTCTGGAATCTAATCTCCCTCTCCCTCTCCCCGTTTTTGGAATCTGAATCTCCCTCCCCCTCCCCCCCGTTTCCCTCTCCCTCTCCTCCCTCTCCCCGTTTCTGGAATCTGAATCTCCCTCTCCCTCTCCCCGTTTTTGGAATCTGAATCTCCCTCCCCCTTCCCCCCGTTTCCCTCTCCCTCTCCTCCCTCTCCCCGTTTCTGGAATCTGAATCTCCCTCTCCCTCTCCCTCTCCCCATTTCTTGAATCTCCCTCTCCCTCTCCCTCTCCCTTCATCCCCGTTTCTGGAATCTCCCTCTCCCTTTCCCTTCATCCCTTTTTCTGGAATCTCCCTCTCCCTCTCCCTCTCCCTCTCCCTCTCCCCATCCCCGTTTTTGGAATCTCCCTCTCCCTTTCCCTTCATCCCCGTTTATGGAATCTCCCTCTCCCTCTCCCTCTCCCTCTCATACCATTGTGGAGAGGAGAATCGTGTTCCATGAGAGCTTATGCTCAAAGTGGATAATATCATACCATTGTTGAGAGGAGAGTCGTGTTCCATGAGAGCTTATGCTCAAAGTGGACAATATCATACCATTGTGGAGAGGAGAGTCGTGTTCCATGAGAGCTTATACTCAAAGTGAATAATATCATACTATTGTTGAGAAGAGAGTCGTGTTCCATGAGAGCTTATGCTCAAAGTGGATAATATCATACCATTGTGGAGAGGAGAGTCGTGTTCCATGAGAGCTTATGCTCAAAGTGGATAATATCATACCATTGTGGAGAGGAGACTCTACGACCTCTAGGGGATAAGATATTTTCCGGAACAAGAAAATCATAATGATTGTTGGTTCTATTTTCATTCGTTTTTTGATGTATTGCAAAGGATTCAGCAAAACTCTTCTTATAAGGATAACATTTTTCTTGATATCTTTGAGACATAATAAATTGTCCATCATTTTCTACCGACAAACGAACAGGTTTGATAATAAATATTCCCCCTTTTAAGAATTCTTTATGAAACTGGAACTCCTTGGGAACTATCGCATCTCCAGATTTATTTCTCCTCTTTCGATCATGTTCTAAACTTAGTCGAGCCAATAGATTGGTAAATCTTCAAATATCAAATAAAGGAATATGATGATGTCATACCATATTGTTGAGCCAATAGATTGGTAAATCTTCAAATATCAAATAAAGGAATATGATGATGTCATACCATATTGTTGAATGATGTAATTTAGGGAATGATCAATTAGATGTAATTTAGAAAATGATCATGAGTTTATAAACAAATATTACTCTCCACATTAGTAATGAGGTCGTTGAGAAAGTATAGTCATAACCACTTTGGAAAAACAAATATTACTCTCCACATTAGTAATGAGGTCGTTGAGAAAGTATAGTCATAACCACTTTGGAAAATAACATACTATTGTAGAAAGTTATGTCTGTCTAACAATCTTAACAAATACAATTATTAACAATTAAGCTAATTTAATACATTATTTTAGTTAGTAATCATTTATATATGAGAACTAGAGACAAAAAATATCAATTAATAAATGTATAAAAATGAGGATTAAAGGGTTTGAGATTATATGATTTTGTAATTAGTGATTATACTCTTAAAATGAAATTTGTTACAATGGAAAACGAATGGGATTAAGGTTTGAGAGACTATCTATATAGAAAGATAAAAGATTATTAAGAGTAGGAAGAAAACATTTGAATACTAAAGAACAATATATTACCAATATATTACCATTATTCAGCACAGTGTCTATAAAGAATAACATTACGAGAGAATATTGAACTAATATTGAACCATGTATAATCAACCTAAAAAATTAAACAAATATAAAAATAGTGTTAAATTCAGTTTTTAAATTCTATTGAAATGTTAATTGTAAAAAAGGATGAGTTATTTGGTTAAAAATGGTTGAGCATACTTGAAAAAATCAAATATCAAAGTAAGAGACATAATAATAAGATCATTTGAAATTGTTGGGAAATACATTGGCTATATTATTTAATTGTATTTTGTAAAAATAAATTATTATTTGGTTGATTTACTTAGTTTTTAATTCTAAAGTCAGAAAAATTCCTTATGTCAAAAGGTTTAAATTCCTTAAGAAAACCGCCGTTATTTAGTTTTGAAGGAAGTTTTTCTAGTTTTATAATATATGTTTGGATTGAAATTATGTATCCTTAATCGACACTGCACATAGATTAAAAAATCTATTAAATTTCGTAGCATTCATCAACACTCAACATAGATTGAAAAATATATATCTCCAACCTTGAGTGACATATGAAGATTAATGATCATAACGCAAGAATGTTTCAACATAGTATAAAGTATGAATATTTTGATATTTAAAAATAGTAATGGTAGAATCAAGAAAAGAAAAATTCATAAAAAAGCAACTTATTGACTCAAACATAAAAAAAAATTGAGATGGAAAACCAATCTAACTAGTCCAAAAACTTAGAATTTCAAAGATCCAAAAGATTTCTCAACCTAAGAACATTCTAACTAATTATTTACTGGCGAAATATTATGTTACTAAATTAGAAATTTAATTGAATAAATGACTGTTTAATATGATATAAGAAATAGGACTGAAACCAAACTCCCAATGAACGTAAGAGACCAGATCCAACTGTAATCTCCTAAAACCATTTCTCTCATCTTTGAAGAAAAGCAATGTTAAAATCGGTAACTCAGACCTCGCAATGAAGCTCATCCATTGAAATGACATTCTTCAAATCGAAGTGCCTATATCAAAACGACAAGCAGAGAGAAACAAAAAAAAATCGATGAAACAAATCAAAATTTGAAAAGTAAAACAGAATCACGAGATTGGAGAGATCAGAGTGTGCTTATATGGATATTCGTCACAATTTATTCAGAAACACGGACCAATGTTGCTCATCATATCTCAGCCAAACGTCAAGAAGATCCAATCAAATCACAGAGAGAAAGAAATAAGACAATGAGATCCGAAAGAACAGCGAAGGAGAATCCATTCGAGAAACTTGCGGGACAAAGTAAAACGCATCAGAGACTTAAATATGAAGGTAATCACGGAAGTTTCCGATCATCTTGTTGCAGTTTTTTTTCTCATCCCCTGCATCATACTTTGTCCCGCTATCTACCAAAACAAAAACACCAAAACAGCAACGATAAATCCGATTACCGGAGGCGGAGCGCCGATGAAAGGCTAATAAAGCGGTGAAAACAAGAGCATCAGGAACAGAGAAAAGTGATAAACCCTAGTAATAATATGATTCACAATTCTGTGAAGAAGCAGATGAAGAGAGTATGCGGTTTACAGCATTATTTATAGGACTCAGCGAGTGAACCCTAGAACTTAGTTGAGTTTTTTTATGGGCCTTTCGTTTGGGCCTTTCCATCTCTCTTATCATACTAAAACATTTATTTTTAAATTTTTTTTATAAAAAAAAAAAAAAAAAAAACACAATATTATATTCAAACCCTAATTTCCAAAATTCAAAGTTCATCTAAAATAAGAAAATAAAAAATTAATAAAAAAAAAACTTTTACGTGTTATGTGGTAAGCGAGCTACCTTTTGGCACATGCATGTGTCACAGCATGATCGAGCGTTTCGAGACGAATGTCTCAAGCGACTTCCTTTCTGGACGACACAGGTGTACCAATATTGCACCCCCAACCCATGTGTCAAAGGTTAGATTATGCATCCGCTATTCAAAACGTATATCATAAATGGTTTAGCACAAACACTGGCGAGTTGAGCCTCGAGTGAACCCGGATAAATGGATGTTCAGGATGTCTCAACGAGATGATCAACACATGGGTTAGTTTCCAACGGATGTGTCCGAGCAAGTCTAGATGGCCGATATATCTCGAGACATGGGATGTCTTAATGGAAGTGCTTTTATATGATATACTATGTTGATTTGTATGAGAATGCTCAATAGCTACGCGATCACAAAAGGGTCGTCCCGAGGTGTGAGTCTTGTCAGTATATATATATATTAGCATTTATTTAAATTGGTACCCAAATACATTCCCTTTACATGATTAGACTTCTATTTATTTTTAAATGATTAAAAAGTTAAAATTGTTTTTTATTTTATAATAAAACTATTTTTTTTATAAGACAAAAAAAAAAAAAAAAAAAAAAAAAAAAAAAAAAAAAAAAAAAAAAAAAAAAAAAAAAAAAAAAATTGANCCTTACGTACAAATTTCTCGCAAATGTTTGTTAAATTATCGCAGTTGTATATGATTGGTACGAAATCGAAGGGTAGTTGAGAGGAACGGCAATGGCGAAACCTTCTTCACCAGCAGCTTCTTCGTTGATCTTAGAGTCGCCGACGATTCAGATAAAGAATATGTCTGAAGAAGATTTGCACAAAACTATACAAATGCTCAATGGATTGAGAGGCTTCGTCCAAATTCCGGTCGATTGCAACACCGAGGGCTTCTATTCCGACATCAGTCGCAGTCATCTCCGGCAGCTCAGCCTTGAACGAGGCCGTATCACCTACCTCCTCATCGTCAAACCTGTTGTCTCCGTAAGTTCTCAATTCTTTTTTCAAGTTTGTTTTCTCGTCGACTTTAGGAAGAGAATTTTGGTATTCGGTTTATACTATTGCGTATTCCTTGTGTCTGATTTGAATTGAAATGATATCTTCGGGGACTTGAAAAATTAGCTCTTCATCATTAGAGCGGAAATAGCTCAGAAAATGAGGTGTTTGGTTAGAATCGAAACAATATTTTTGAGAACTTGAAAGTTCACTATTCATCTATCGTTATAGTGATGTCTTTGGTTGCTGAGAAAATGCGGTATCTGATTTGAATTGAAATGATACACTTGGAAACTTTCAAATTTTCTGTTCATCATTATATTAATCTGTTTGCTTGCCGTGAAAATGTGGTGATTGATTTGAATCGGAACAGCTTCCACGGGAGCTTGAAAACAAAGCATTCATCATCATAGCGGTCTATTTGTTTGCCGAGAATGTGTGCCTTTTCAAATTCTAGTTATTTGCGTCTTTCAGTTTGAGTTCGTGTGGATTCATCTATCTGATGAATTAAAAACGGAATATCAATATGTTTTCATTCACATTAACAACAGGTATCTGTGAAATTTCAGAACATCTATGGCTTTTTACATGGAGGATTTGTTGCTGCGGCTGCTGAGTTCTCATCAATTGCTTGTGCTAGAACTGTTGTGGGAGAGAATAAGGCATTATTTCTTGGGGAACTGAGCATTTCTTATCTCTCAGGCGCTCCACAAAATGTGAGTAAATTTTAAGTAATTGCTGTGCTCCCTTATGATTTGTTTGAGTTGGCGGTGCAAGTAGGTTAGTTAAGTTGAGGAAACTGACTATCGAATTGACCAAAACTGAGTCCAACCAATCAAAGCCATCAAAACTAACCAAAATTGAAATAAGCCACAGCCAACAAAGTTAAATGGATCAAGAATGAGAATTCAAATTGAATGAATTGAATTGGTTAATTCAGCTGGTTTTGGTAGTTTCGGTTTCAGGAGCTGGGAAGTGTTTGATGGAAACTCGATGTATAAATTTCTTAGATGTTAGAGTCCTCAGATTGTTTTGCTGGTCCTGCCTGCTTAAACCTTTTGTGTACTTAACCATACATGGGTGGGAGGGTTGCATGATTCTACCGGTGGAAATGGTTTATTACTTGAGACGACAGGGCCGTTTTATCTTCTTATGATTTGAAACTGATATTATGATGGTGTCTATTTTTTGTCGAATGGTATATTTCCATGGGTTTGCTGACTTTAGCTCACTTCCAGCCACCTTGCGCTTGTAGTTTATGGGAAAATACCATTCCTTTTCTTTATTAGGAGGATTAAGGGAGGTACATTCGTTCAAATCATGAATTTTCAAATTGAGAGATCAAGAATTAAATCATAATTACCACACTCTGCAATCCTATAGGTATAACATCAGTAATATGATTGCCACCACACTTCAGATCAGAGCAACAAATGGGACTGAGTTAGGTTGGATGTTTTAGGACACAAACATAGTAGTTTGGTACCATGTGAACAAGAAGGGTCTGAGTACATAACACAAATATAAATATAACTAGGTGCTATGACCAAGCCTTGAGTACATCAATGATTGCATCTAGTGTTCGATTCAGACTTCGGTACCGCTCAACTTATGGAGGATATGAAAGAGTATTTCGATTGCATTTTGTTGTTCAAAGATTGGTTTCGGCATTCACACCCAGGAAAGTAAGAACACACGCAAGAATAAACCATCGATACAATACAATGTGAAATTTGGTATTCGAGTCATTGTGAATTTAAATGCAGTTTTGATTGTTCAAGTAGCTTTCTTATGATTAAAAATCTTATCTTTACATACCTTTTCACTCAATTTGAGCTTTACCAAGATCATGCTATCTTCCACGACCGTAAACAGGACCTGTTCTCAAGAAGTTTTCTGAAAAATTGTGTTGTTACAGGCAGAGGTTGTGGTAGCTGCTTCTGTTTTAAGGAGTGGAAAAAGTTTGACCATAATTTCCATAGAGTTTAGACTTCAAAAGACAGGAAAGTTGGTCTACACAGCTCGCTCTACACTCTATAGCATGCCAATGCCGAAGTTATAAAATGAAAATTTCCAGGTGCCTAAACATCTCCAACTTTCTGTACTTTAATGTTCTGTGTTTTTATTCTGTTTGAACGAACATGTCAAATATATGTACTTGTGTAATGTTGAAAAGAGTAGGCAAATATATTGATTAGATGCTTGATTATCCTTGTATACTATTTATAATTTAGACAAAATACTGTTGTTCCATGCTATATTTATAAATTACATCAAATAGATGCCATCTTAGTTGGAGTTTGGATACTTAGATTTCTTTTTAGTTCAAACCTTTTGAGGCGAGAATTTGAACTTATAACCTTCTAGTTGAGTATATGTTAAACAACATTAGTTTGGAAAGATTGGAAAAATAGGAAAAAGAGGGATCATAGCATATTAAATTAGGACAGTTATCTTATTGGTACGAGTTTTTTTTTTTTTTTTTTGGAATAAAAAACAGAGGCACGACGACTTAGGTCTCCAATGGACAATATTATTTTATTGTAGAGATAGGTAAATATTCCATTGTCCTGGCTAAAGTGGTTTGAAACATAAAAGTTAGTCTATTTGACTCGTGCAACCTTGTATTAACACGTCATTGCAAAATTATAAAATTATTTGGTTCTACACCTAGGTGAACAATTATCATATGCCTGTATATAATATTCTTTTTTAACTTTTTCCACTTTTGTCTCTTCAGTTTTCATTCAAACGGGATAAATAGAATAATACCTAATGTTAGATTATATTGCATACTTAATTTTAGATATTAATTAAGATATTATGGTAATTTATGAAGTTCAATGTGGTAAGATATAAATACCTAACATTTTTTTTTTTTTTTTGTAAAAATAAAATCCTATAAATATAACCCTAATAATCACTAATGATCAAATCACATGAAATAACGTTTTACTATTCATTGTATTTTGTTAAACAATAATAGCACATGAATGAGAACAAAATAATGAAGTTGAGTTCAATATCGAGAAAAGACTACAGTCTCTTCATCTTGATTCTTTTTGTAGTTTTGTACAAATATCTTCTAACTACAACCTTACAACCTTTCAGTGATTATTAGTGATCAAGGTCGGTTTGTTTTGAGAGGAAGTTCTCTCTACCCGACCCCTAGGTTGTTTCTCCTTTGTTGTTCTCATACATTTTCACTTTAGTTCTGATAAGCAATATCAAAGAAAGACCTATTAACATCTATCGTTGAATCACTAAGATTCATGCTTATTGTGCTATTTATTTCACTATAGCAATGTCGGATAACTATTTGACTTTTAAAAATTAAATTGATAAAACATTACTTCTATCTATGAGTTTCTTTATTTCGTTGAAGAGTGTCCAAAACTTAAGTGAAGTTTTGAAAAATAAAATAGGTGTTTTTTAAGAACTTGTTTATGATTTAAACTCATTTTTTCTCGTACCCGCTTGAATGAAATTACTACCAATGTTCTTATCTTGCTTGAGCTGTGCCTTGGGGAAAACTCAGAGGTATCATTAGGAATTAGTCAGTTTTTTCTCCAAGGAGCTGACCATTTCCCCCCTGTGAAGTGATGGAAAATATGTCAACAAGACCAGTGCAACAAAGATCATAGCTTTCTTCTAATCGGATCATCATTACATAGCAATGAATAAATTTGCCCTAATCTCCACATTTGGCTGAATAGATAGCCTCAAGCCTTCAGCTTCACGCCCATCTCGGCAATATCCATATACCAGGGATGACCAAGTGAGAGAATTTTTAGTTGGAGATTCATTGAAAAGGATCTCCCGATTGGGCATAAGCAGAAATCATAATATTCCATGAGCTGAAGTTTGTAGATAACTCGCACTTCATCAACTCGACCATCTTTAGATAACTTGCTCAGGAGCTGGTTGGAGACAGGACTCGACACATAATTCTCACAATGTTGTGGATGCAACGTATAAGAACGAGTGGTTGAAGTGAAAGTATCACTCAGTGAAGGAGTTTGAAGATTGTAGATATATGTTGCACATAAGCACCATAGTTCTAGCAGGCTTGATAAGTTCACTTAGATATGTTCCTCCAGCATCAACAACACCCCCTCCCCAACTTAAAACAATCCATAGGCAAGCCAACCCAAATGGAACCTAACTCGAATTTCAGAGATCAAAAGAGTATTTTTCTCTTTCAATTATATTTATCCTATTCAATGGAACATAAAATTTAAGGAACGACATAGTATCGATACAGGGCATACGATAGACTTGAAGAAATCAACACTGAAAACAAAACAGATAATGGCATCAAACATAATTCAATTATGAATGCCAATGGTTAAAAAAAGGAGGCACCAAGCTCTTAGGAGTTTCAATACGTGTACGGTTATGAGAGTTCAACTGGACCTGAGAATCTTACCAATCAACCAGGAGACACCTTTTTGCTGTTGAAGTATGTATGGTCATCAAAACCACAGATGTGAGAGATCTATGCATTTTTCAGGTTTCCACTTGCTCAACCAATAGAATCGCAGGCAGCAAATTTTTCTGCTTCAATTTCAAACCAATATTATGGTTTGCACCCTCTACTAGAGCCTGGTGATGTTGCTTGGGGTGCAAAATTGGGTGGATCACAAACGAGAAATCTGTAGTAGCAGAAAACATAAATGTATAAATATATCTTCACACACACACCCACACAAAAAAAAAGCTTCAAAAGATTTCCATGACGATGGTCGAATTTCTAATTTGATCAATGAGTTCTCTATACTTTGTTAAGTGTTACAACAAGTGTGCTATTCTCTACTAACGTGTGAGTCACACGTGAAGCTCAATTAAAAGGTTATCTAACAACTAACATAAGGGGTTGATCGCAACACTTAACAAAATATAGAGGACTGAATGATGAAATTAAAAATTCAGAGATGTGATTTCAGGAGTGGTTTGCAATTTTTCCAAAAAAATCCTAATTCTGTTTAACATCAATATTCAAGAGATAGTCTTCCACAATACGATGCAAGGGCACGCTCTTTTCAGCTATTATATTATAAAATTTAAAAGTGACGCAATTATTGGAAGATTTTTCTGATTAAAAATAAAAATGATCGACAAGTCAGCATACTAATAAATAGCATGAAATAATGACGATAAGCTTCTTCATCACCTAAAACCAAGTTACTAACACACTGAGTTGAATCAAGGACGGAACCCTATGAGTTTACAAAACTTTATGAATGGGATGGGTAGATTTTAGAAGGAATGCAGACAAATTGTGAGACAGTAGTGAAAGGAGATATTGATAGTAGTGATATTGATACTGACCATATTGTACACATCATGAAAATATGGCATCAACGAAGGCCTCTGGATCAAAAGGTTGAAGATCTTCTAACCCTTCACCAACGCCAACAAACTTTACGGGGATGCCAAGCTCGTAGACCACACTGACCTGAGAAAGAAGGAATATATCATCAGAGAGTAGTTGGCGGTCATGTCATTTCAGGAAGTTGTTCATCTCAGAATTTAAAGGCATACCACACAACCACCTCTTGCAGAACCATCAAGTTTTGTCAAAATTAAACCAGTAATTCCAACTACCTGTTACAGAAGCCAACAAGCTTGTCAATTGAAATTTCTTGGTAACTAAAAGCAGAATTGCAACATGCCAAAAACTCCATTAGCGATTATGTTTCAAGAATACTTGCCCCAAGGTAAAAGAAACATAAATATAATAATCCAAATGCATATATTGTACTCAGCAGATGATGCTATATTTTACTTTTGGGGAAATCATGAACGAAAACTTGCAAAATGGCAAGAAATGATGCGTGTCATCCAAGAATATTAGAAGGAAAAGGATAGTAAAAGTTACATCATTGAACTCCCTTGCTTGTGGTAGCATATTCAAACCAGTTGTCCCATCCAATACCTGCAGGATCTCCTGCAATTGTAATGAAACTCTTAATAAGTACATGATACTAAGTAGAATTTCATTTAAATGACCAGATATCCAACTTTTATAAAATTCTTCATATCTGCTTGAACCATAAATTTCATGGGAGGCAGTGTTGGCCTGAATGAGGTAATAATAACGAAGTAGAAAAATGGAATTTTCAGTGATCTGAGTATCATCTGCCTTACAACTAATAGTGTCATATTTAAATAAATTATTTTCCTAACACAGAAATCAAGTTTGATTTTAACCTCAGCTAACAGCCGAAAGCATTGGAGGAAAAGAGAAGAAATCTCAAAGAAAAGGTGCCACTCACCACAGTCCCGTGCATAATAACGTCGAAGATAAATTAAATGCTTATGCAAGTGTAAAGTGCAAATCCCTACACCGAAAATACAAGAAAAAAGCTTTGCAGTTTCACTCATTGAATTCTTGACAAGAGCCTTTACGCTATACAAAAATATGTCTTTATTACTAGGTTAAAACTTCAGACTTTCACTTAATACTAGGTAGTCATGCATAATAATGTTGAAGGTAAATTGAATGGCTTATGCAGCCTAGAAGTGTAAATGCCTACACATCCGGTTTTTTAAATAGAACAAGTCAACAAGGTAAAACGAAAAAATAGTAATGCTTACATTAGGTGCCCCGGGCATAACTTTTTTCACAGCTTTCTTGCATGCTATTAACTCTTCCATCAAACTATAATTTGTATGCAGACCTATGAAAAAAAAAAAAAACCAAGATTTTCATCTATTAAGAAGACACAAGAAAGAATACTAACAGTAAACCGATACACTACATATACTTACGTCCAGATGTATCACACAAAACAATGTCAAAACCACCTTCTTTTCCTTTCTTTACAGCCTGTGATAGAACTATCAGGGAAACACTTCAAGAGGATAAGTTAGCATCCACAGTATATGATACAAACTTCCTCAAACATTACAATGTCAAGAAAAAGAAACAGAGCACTATAACTACTGCATACCTGATGACGCCTTGGCATTGTCCTTTTCAGCAACAACAATCTCACATCCACATCTCTCTGCCCAGATTTCCAGCTGATCACTAGCAGCTGCTCTAAATGTATCACCAGCTGCCATCAATATCTGGCACACAAAAATGTAAATTACTATATTTCCATCAAGTTACTTTTTTAAATAAGAAAGTAACTTTCACTTAGAAGGGTAAGAGGATCATCTAACAACCTTGGCTCCTTCGTTTTTTAGTCTAAAAGCCAGCTTTCCTGCAACATGGAGTTGAAAAGATATTACTGGGTAATTTGTGTAATAGCACCGCAAATAAATATATCCCAATTTAGCAAAGACAGAGAAGTAGATAGCTTAACCTTATTCAATATGAGGTCATTTTAATTTCCTAAACTTGTCTTACTGTAGTAATGACGAAATTGCAACAAATAAATGCGAAATTATGTTTAACATGCTTTTAAAAGGAAATATATTATGTTTGAGCCATATATTTTTTTTTTTTTTTACGAGGTCAGGCCGCATGAAAATCCAAGTAAATATCATCAAAACTAGGTAAGAACTTCTGCCAAGAAATTAAATGAGGTTTAAACTCAATAGAATACTCATATCATGTTAATGCTAGGTCTTACCAAGAGATGTTGTCTTTCCACCTCCGTTAACACCAACTATCATAATCACGGCCGGTTTACTGATGACATGATAAAAGCAGAATCGGAGTTAGTGCTGGAGATATTGCGCTTAGTTAGATAGATTGCACAAACTAGAAACCAAAAAGAAAGTAGACCGGAATCCAAGTTGAAGTTCGGTTTTGCTCCCCTTCCCTTTCAACAACTCCAACACATTCTTCTTTAAGGCATCCTGGGATCGTTTTGATCAGTGTATTACAAGTTCAATCAAGCGTTACAAACTATATGGATATAGAAGTATAGAATTGAAAACCAAACTTGGAACTAAAGCATTTCTTTCATCAAATTGGCGATCATCAACCAAACTACCACTTCAAAAATTAAATCCAAATTCCATGATTCAAAACTCAAAGCAGTACATAAAATTTTTCATCGACAAACTTAAATGAATATAAAAATCTTCATAATAGAAATTTCTCCAAATAACACGAATTCCAATTCCAAAAAGCAGAAAGAGAGGTAAATTGCTCACTGTGCCGCTAGAGCTTCATTTAACGTTTAACGCAATAATTATTAATTCATTTCCGTGTAGTAAGCCTTTCTTTCTTAGAACGCAGAGTAATGAAACAATTCGTGAACTAATTACCTTTATTTCACTACCCGATTTTAGCTTCCCAGACAATATGTCGTCACGCAAGCTCTCCACGATCTTAATGGTGATCCTCGGCCCGAAATCAGACACCAATAATGCCTACAAGATTATCAACACTACGATTAACCATGGAATTTCATTAGGCTTACAAATGATTTTCCGAAAACTCCAGTATTAAAAGCACTACCTATATCAACAACAAGAAAATAGCCAATTACTAACATTCAAGCCATACAAAAAAATCATGTCTGAAAGAAGGTTGGATTTAAGTTCATTCTCAGAAATAAAGACCTGAGGGAGGTTTCAGATAAGAGACAAATGTAAACCAAAATCGAATTACGCCTCCGTGGAATCCACATTCAGAACAGTGGATTGGACTAGATTTGACAAATTCGAGTTCAAAAATCCAAGAATTCCTGAACAGAACAGTTTCCTCAGTAGGAAATACTTCCTTAAAACGAACATAAAACAAAAGAGAGAAAATAGAACAGTAACAGAATACTGACCTCTTCGAGTTCATCGAGAACTCTATCGGTTTCCGCGAGGTTCCAGTAAAGAAGAAGCTCGTCAATAACAGCAAGATTGTCTCGAGTCTTTGAGAAGCCCGAGAAGACCTTCTCAACATCGCTTTTGGCCTTCTCCTTAAGCAGCCTGCCAAGCCGAGTGAAGAATCCCGTCTGACCAGCGGAGCATCTGAATCGAGAACCACCGACGCGGCCTTTCCTGGAAGGAGAAGTTATCCGAAGAGATGGAACGATTAAGCTTCGAGGTGAAGGGTTTGAGAGAAAGGAGAGATGAGAGAGTGAGGCCGCGGCCATTTTTGTTACAGCTCCGAGAACGGAATGTTTCAGAGCCAAATGGATAAACCAACTACCTTCGGGAAACGTCACAGATCGACGTCGTTTTGGTTTCCGTTGAACATATTCCTTTACACGACGTCGTTTTGTATTTGGGCCTGAATGAAAGTAGGCCCAATGTTTGTAGCGCCCAAGTCCAATAATAACACCCAAATGCTCAGGCCGAATTGCATAACAATTTTTTGCTACTAGAAACTTTTAAATATTTATAAACAATATAATTAAAATAATAAATAACTATATTTTAGACAATAAATTATATATATTATAAATAACTTTCGAGCCTACACCGTACGAGAAAATCCAACACTAGAACGTTCGTAGTTCCGACGATTCTGTTCCTCGAAATAGATCCACAATGCACCTTGATAGTCAAGAACATTGCATCCACCGACATCTCTATCATTGTTTTCTCACTCCATAACGTATAACTGTCAGGATTCACGAAACTCCACGATGATAATATTGTCTCCTTTGAGCCTAAACTCTCATGATTTTGCTTTACGGTTTCTCGAAAGATCTCATACCAATAGAAATATATTCTTTATTTATAAACCCATGATCGTCCTCTTAATTAACCAACTGAGAATCTGTCCCAACAATCCTCAACAAACACTATGTAGCCTTCTCTAAGGCCTGAGGAACCATCAAATAGCATCCCCTTAATTGATGCTCGACTCATCTAAAGTCCTTGAACAAAATATACCATTTGTGTCGACACTTGAGTCACTAGATTTTATTGACATGACTAAATTAAAGACATGACTCTGATACCGTGTTAGGAATTACGAAACTCTACAATAATATGATATTATCTACTTTGGGTATAAGTTCTTATGACTTTGTTTTGTAAATGGATGCAGATCGATTTTTTTATGAATAATTATTTAATTTAATTATGTTATATTTTATTCTTCCCTCTTTTTTACTTATTTATTAATATTTTTTTTTCATATAAATTAATCTATAAATACAAACTATTTTTTATGATAATTTGTTCAAAATTAAATTATGAATTTTGTCTATGCATTTTTTAATTTGGATTTTAATAAATTTTAATATTTTAAAATTTATAAACTAAATAAATAAAAATTAAAAAAAAAATTAATTCTATAAAATGGATATTTGATTTTAGTTTTTATTTGGACTTCATAATTTAAAAATAAATACTTTTAATGAAATTGAATTTTATTTTTTTATACCCATCAATCAAATATTAATTCCATATATATATATATAAAGATAAAGATAAAAATACGAAGAATTTTATCTCGGGGTGACGGAATCAATCTCTAAAGAAAGATCGAGAGAAACAAATTTTATTTTATAATCACGTAATCTAAAATTGGTCTAATTCAAATTTTATTTTAATTTTTAAAAGATTAAAAAAATAATTATTTTTATTATCTTCTTTAATCTCCTTATGGGATTTTTTTATTACTAATTCAATCCAAAGTTGAGACATTTAGTATAGAATTAAAAATTTAATAATTTCCCAAAATTTTAATTTGTGACTAATTTTTTATTTCTATAAAAATATAAGTTATTTGGGAGAAATTTCTACGAAAAAAAACAATTAATTCAAGATTGTTTCTAAGATACTTTATAAAAAGCAAAAGAAAATAAAGAAAATGACTTATTTTGAATTTATCCATTATTGAACAAGTCATGATGTGTAGGACTAGATGACTCGAGTCAATCCATTATTGCACGGTTTTTCCACAACTAACGAATTTTTTTAAAGACTCGATACTGGGTCAAGGGTACTACTAGAATTTAGTAGTAGGTTGATAGCTGGTCGAGGTAGAGGAGGGTCGTCTCGAGGCGTTAGTCTATTAATTGATACATCGAGGTGGTGGAGTGTTCGGGAGATACATGGTCACAGAAAAGAGTCGTCCCAAGGCGTTAATCTTAGGGATCGTTGTCTATTGATTGATATCTCAATCTCGAATCCTCGTTTTGTAATAAACTCTTAAACAATGCTTTGATGAGTAAATACTTTTGTTTTTATGCTTTTAACTGTGGTGATGCTTGTTTTTTAATTTGTACAAAATTTTACTGTATCTTTTGTTGTCGATCTGGATGTTCACGTAGCGATTTGTGGTTCAAAATCTCGAAAATTGAATCGTAAATAATGGTAAAATTTGTAATTTTGTGTCTAATAGGTGTCTAAACGGGAGTAACGGATTTCATATACAAAGTTTCATCCTTTCTTTCCCCCAAATTTCCCCCAAATTCCATAGCTATAAATTTCCCCCCAAATCGTGATCTATAAATTCCTCCAAACCCTAATTTGATTCCTCCACATGAAAAACAAATCCAATCCTATCTCCATTCGTGATTTCCTCTGTTTTCCGTTTTCCTCATGGCGCCAATATCGAGAACTCTCGAAATCACAGTGATTTCTGCCGAAGATCTTCACCGTCGTCGGAAATCGATGAAGAAGAAATCATTCGCGACCGTCAAAATCGATTCTCAGAATCTCGGCAGCACACAAATCGACGACAGAGGCGGTAGCTATCCTTTCTATAACAATAAAATGGCGTTGAACTTGCCGTCGAATGTAAGTTTCATGACTGTAGATGTACATTCTGGAAATTTCTCGAGGAACGAGATCATCGCAACTGCGAATGTTCCGGTATCGGACTTTTTAGGCGGCTTCGTGCCGGAAAGTTATTTACATTTCTTGAGTTACCGATTGCGAGACGTTAGAGGTAAGAGGAATGGAATTGTTAATATTTCTGTTAGAGTTTTGGCTTCTGATCATACGTCCACTTCACAAACGCGAAAAGTACAAATTCCGGCGGAGAAAACTAATTTCGGCGGCGGCGTAGCGATCGGGATCCCTATGAAATTTATTGAAAACTATTGAAATTTATTGATTACTTTTTTCGAGTTAAAAATTGTGTATATAGGATAAAGATGTGTATATTTTCGGAAGATCATTTATTATACTTCTTAAATTTATATATTAACAAACAATCAATATTTTAACTTTTATTATTATATATTAATTCAATAATATTATGAGTGGAAGGTTAGGAACTTTTAACCTATTATGCTCATTTTTGCATGGTTAATGAATAGATTGCTCGATTTCAATAAACGTGTATTGGTTAATAAAATAACGTCGATTCGAATTATTGCAATTATTTTTGGGCTATACATATTGTCTTAAATCCTAATTTTTTTGTTTTTTCCGATTCAATTTTGTCTCGCAACAATTTTGAGAGTTAGAAATTACTTCTAAATATTTAAGATCGCTGACTAAATTGACAAAATTTTACAAGGAAAAAGTTATTTAAACAAAAATTAAATTTCTTTCGAAACATTTTAGAAATTTCTTTATGTTACTTCATTTTCGTAGAATATAAGATGAAAGAGGGTAGGTCTTGTTGAGTTCTTAGTGTTGGATGATGAAAATCTCACATGGACTAATTTAGAAAATGATCATGATATATAAATAAGAATACTATCTCTAAAATGAGGCCTTCTGGGAATCTCAAAACAAAGTTATAAGAGTTTATGCTCAAAGGGGACAATATGAGATCTTTTCGGGAATCTCAAAGCAAAGTCATAAGAGCTTGTGCTCAAAGGGGACAATATCATAATAGCATTGTGGAAAGTCGTGTTCATCTAACATGGTATAAGAGTCATGCCCTAAACCTAGTCATGTCAATAGAATAGAATCTTCAAATGTTGAACAAAGGACTCCGTCATGTCAATAGAATAGAATCCTCAAATGTTGAACAAAGGACTCCAAAAGAAAAAGGAGTCGAGCCTCCCACCTCGTGAAATCGAGCCTCGATTAAGGGGAGGTGTACTTTGTTCGAGGAGAGGTGTTGGATAATGAAAGTCTCACATCTACTCATTTAGGGAACCATCATAGATTTATAATTGAGTTATTTGCATTTGAAGACAAAAAAATAAAAATATTATATAAGAGTGGAAAATTGTAAAGCACGAGTGGAAAGTGGGGCAAAAGTGAAAAGTATTCTAAATTTACTTATTTACAATTGCACCCCAAAGGGTATGGAGGAGAAAAAATGTAAAAGAAAAAGGACAAAATAGCAAATTCCACTTTTTTTACAATACGGGGATTGATTGCGATCACTCAAGCCATGGAATTCCAAAACCACTAAAATTAAACATAAAATAAAATAAAATAAACATTTTCCACGGCGGATTTGAAATTTAAATTCCCCCCCAATTATCACTCACTCATTACTGTCCCCCACTACCACCAAACAAACAAACAACAGTCCAATAACATTTCGACTCGATTTCACTTCATTCGTCTGTTATTTGTATAAATTGACAGCCCGGTGATTTTAGTATTTGGACTACCCCTAGCCAACTCGCTTTTTCTGTTCAGAAGCAACCCGCTTTTTTCTTTACCATTTCTCTCAACTTTCCATCTCCTTTCACTTCTAAAACCTTTGTCCTCTATCTCCGATTCTCTTCAAATCCTTCCTTCTTGATTCTGCAATTTCTCAAATTTGTTATGGCGTATGCCGAATTTTCTTCACGAACAATCGAAATCACTGTGATATCGGGAGAGAATCTTCAAGTACGTGGAAAGCCGATCAAGAGCAAGAGCGATTTGTTCGTCACTGTTCAACCTGATCTTCAGAACGACTCTGTGAGAACGAAAATCGACCGCGACGGCGCTGGATTCCCGCGGTGGAATGAGAAGCTCGTCGTTGATCTCCCAATGCATGCGGCGTTCGTTATTGTGGAGGTTTGTCGTAGAGTTTCGAGTCGGAAAATCAAGATCGTCGGGACGGCTAGGGTTCCAGTGGCGGATTTTACTGCTGGATACTTGCCGGAAAGTCATCTGCAGTTTTTGAGTTACAGGTTGAGAGATAAGAGAGGCGATAGGAATGGAGTTGTTAACTTGTCTATGAGAGTGAAGATGGCGGCAGGAATTGAGCTTCCATTGTTGCAGAAGCAGGGGATTGGAGTTCAAGTAACGGTGCCGATGCCGGAAACAAAAGTCCACGGCGGCAGCAGAGGAGCCGTATCTGGTATTCCTAAATGGAATTTTAGTTATCGAGATATTTTATTTTCTTCTCATCATAATCATGTACATAAACAACACACAAAAATTTTTATGTTAAAAAAGAGAAATAGAAACGAAATCATGTCTAGAACGGTTATTGAAAGTCCTACTTCTGTTTCTTGTTCTTAACAGAGTATTAAACCATCATTCTTAACAATTTCTTCATTCTTCTTCTTCATCACTCTTCCTTGTATTTATTTTTGTGTTTATATGTCTAGATGCTTTTCAAATTTCAGAAAACTATTAAATTAACTAATACATGATGATCGATTGAGTCAAATAGGTCAATGATTTGCATTAACTCTAGAATTTAGAGGCATATTAGATACGGATGTCGACCTGTCAAGTAACGAATATCTATCTTTATACCTCGAGGTCCCAATCACGGAATCGAAAGCTCCAGCAGGCTTTGATTCTTCATGTCAAATCTTTGAAAAACTTTATATTGGCCAAACATATTCATGCAAGTAGAGATTCGAATTTAATGCAACCAAATTTCAAATGATCCAAAGTGATTAAATGAACTCTTATTGACTTCCTGAGTCTACAAACATTTTTTCTTGCGTATCAAAAGGATTCAAATTCCATTATGATATTTTATTAGATATTTTTAAAATTATAAAAATTTATTAAATTCGGGAGTTGCTGATAGTATATTTTATTTTATTTACAAGATTTAGTTAGTGGTATATTTTTCTTTGTATACTTTTAAACATTAATGAAGATAGCAATTTCGATCCCACCTCTATTTCTCGTTCTTAACAAATACACACCCGACCAGCTAAAAGAGCATACTTCTTCTGTTTGGGTGTTTGAGGGGTCGGAGAAAGAGAGTTTTCTCTACTCGGACTTCTCCTGTTCGAGTAGATATTGGTTTTCTACATGAAAGGACACAAAGATTACCAGAATGATTAAAGAAAAAGGACTTAAAATGTTATCATAATAAAACATTAATATAGCATTCTCATTTCAATGGACTCCAAAACACAGTTCCCCTCTAACAAAGCACATACATACATTAACCATACAACAACAGCAGCAGTAGCAGCTTCAAAACAAACTCTGCAGGAGCGACCCTTTCAAACAAGGCCCCCCCTTCTCTCACTAGCCATCAAAACCAATTGCGTGCACTTCGTCGCTCGTAAGCTTTGTCACACTTCTTCGCTACTGGAACCGTTCAGCTTCAATATGTTGAACTTGCAGAGCGGGCAGGTTGCATTGATGTGTAGCCATTTGTCGATGCAGTTGCAGTGAAAATGGTGGTTACAGGGCAGCTCTCGTAGCTCCGTTTCATTTTCGTAAGCACTGAGGCAGATGCTACATTCCTGATGATAAGATTTCGGGTCAGGAAAAAGGGAGGAAGTTGTTTGATTTCGTGTTCTGATGGTGCTTTCGGCACAGAAGAGTGAGCTTTTTGAATGTCTATAGTATCAATTACCATGATGAAAAAGTTTTATGAACGAATCCGATAGTATTCGAAGAACGGTTTAGAGAACTTCGAATTCTTGAAGTGATAAACTTACGGAAAGAAATCTCGAATCAGAAACTTACAGAATCTTCAGGACGAAGAAAATGCTTGGTAGGTGCATCAGTGTCACATTTAGTCATTATTCCTCCAGTAGATTCTTGAGTATCACCAATCCCTTTCTCGACATCACATGTTCTGTTGAATATGTACTTCGGTAAGCGATCGATCTCCTCCTTTGTTGCTCCTTCCTGAATTTTGCGGGTTAGAAACGAATCACGGTGAGTTGACAGTAGCAACAGTGTAAGTATCATCACAAACTCAAAAGCTAATTGTAAAATGTCAAGCAGATATAACTCGAGGAACATTCTCTGTTCTTGACAACATTGTCACGCTCTAGCATAAGCCGATAATAACTGCAATAGAACCTATATGGTTGCGTTATACTGATCAAACATGACCGGCCGCCATAAGGGATTAAAATACTAACCAACAAACAACAGAACAAAAGTATCTCCTTATGACAACAAGAAGTGAAAGACTCTAGACTAGATGACTAAATATACGAACATTATAGAATCTGAATGAGAGATTCCACAACGGTTGGAAAGAGAAATCAAACCTTCTTTACAAGGGTGTGAAAACCTCTTCCTGGTAGACGTGTTAAAAACTTTGAGGGAAAACCCAAAGAGAAAAATATTTGTTAGTGGTGGGCTTGAGCTGTTACAAATAGTATCAGAGCTAGACACCGAGTGGTGTGCCAGCGATGACACTGAGCCCCAAATGAGGGTCAACACCAGGCGGTGTGCCAGTGAGGACGCTGAGCTCTGAAGGGGGTGGATTGTGAGATCCCACATCAATTGGAGAGAAGAATGATTGTTAGCGAGGACACGGTGCCCTGAAGGGGTAGATTGATAGATCCCACATCAATTGGAGAGAGGAATGATTTCCAGTGAGGACGCTGGGTCTTGAAGTGAGGTGGATTATGAGATCTCATATCGATTGGAGAGAAGAACGAGTGCTAGCGAGAATGCTGGACCCCAAAGGGGGTGGATTATGAGACCAAGTAATGAGATCTCACATCGATTGGAGAGAGGAACGAGTGCTAGCGAGAATGTTGGACTCCAAAGGGGTGGATTATGAGACCAAGTATTCTTTATAAAGATGTGGAAACCTAGAGGCATTTTAAAAACCTTGAGGGGAAGCCCGAAAGAGAAAGCCCAAAGAGAAGACAATATCTTCTAGTGGTGAGCTAGGGCTGTTACACCGATTCAATTACACATTTGGCATCAATTAGTGTAACAAGAATTCACGATAGCACCCCTTTTAAAGTGTTTTATGTAAGCCAATATTTCATCTATAAACAACACACAAAAGGATTGTAGGATGGCGTCCATTTACAACAAGCTAAGTCAAAGAAACAACAAACTCGACCCACGAGATTGAACGAAAGCTCATTGAATCTACCTGATCGGTAACCGCATACAAGATAGCAATTATGCAAGGAAGACAGCAGCAAATAGCAACACCAACAAGACAGGCAATTGCGACGCAAATCAGAACAAACACGACGTCGAAAGCAAGGAATGTAATACAAAGCCTGCATTGTAGACCATGGAACTGATGAGAACTCGAACAATTAACGAGTTACGAAACAGTTGGTTTGAAAATTAACAAACCAGTATAGCTGAGGTGAATCATCTATCAATTCTTGGCCTCCAGTAGTGACCCAGTAAAATCCTAGCAGCCACCAGATGAAAGAGAACAAGGTATTTGCAGACTCAATATGCTTCACAAGATTGCTATGAAAAATGTAAATGCTAGAGATTAGTAATCAAAGATCCTCAGAGCTCAAAGTTGTGAAAATGGCGAATGAACATTGCCTTTACCTTGGTTCTTCTTCATTCACGGTAAGTTCTTCATCTCCATCACTTCCAGAGGCGGAATTCGAGTCATCGCCGCTCATCCAGTCGCTGCCACGGTCCAATCCGGTGGGCTCTCTCGTCAAGTGCCGCCGCTTATACTCAGCTGCAACACAGGACATGTGAATTATACACTGCAAAGCATATCCAATGATCCAAAACCTAAGCGGCACAGAAGGATTTTCGCTCGTGCTGAGCCCTAGGATAGTGAAACTAATGGCGACGAAAACCAAGTTCCATAGAAGGTCCAAGAGGATTATCGGCTTCGAGTACGCCCAATCGCTCTGCCGTTCCTCCAGCTGCTCGGCGGCGGTTTCACGAACACGAACGGAGGGCTCTTGAAGCATCATCTGCCGGCCACTTGCACGGCGGAGAAGACGAACCGCGCCACGAAGAGGCTGAGGCGAACGACGAATAAACCCTCGCGATCGGAAGAATCCATCGGCGACGGAATAGCCAAGCAGAGGCGAATTATCCACCGTCCGGATGGGAGAAGAGTACAGTGGGATTGAATCACGCATTCTAGCGATTCGATTATCGATCTCTAGTATGAACTTCGAAGTTTCAGTGAAAAAATTAGGTCAAAAAATCACAAAACTCCAAAAAAGCAAAAGGTATTTCACGAAACGAATCGAGCTGATCTTTTCCTGAAGAATCAAAGTGAAGCCAATCCGAAATTCCGGATTCGACAGACCAGAAGCAACGAAGAATCAGCTGGGACCTGAGGGAAAATTCAAAGAAGATGAAGAATCTGTGAAGCTGGAAAATCGAATCAAATTGATTGGGGGAATTGGAGAACTTACGGAGAGCTTTAAGAAGAAATGTAACGGCGAGGGAATCCGATGGAAAGAACAGCAACTTTTCACGAAATTCACGAGAATTTAGACATAATTTGTTGTTCGCTGAATGTAAAATCAATTGTCAGTTTTCAGTCAACGGGGGTGAAGAACACAAAATTAGTGTACATTTTAATTTTTAAAAAATGTTATAATTAGCTCTAACTTTAATGTTTTTTTTTTAAATTGTATTTATCATTATTATAATTATTATTTTTGTAGTTATCTAATTTTTAAATTCATGGATTTATATGGAAATTAATTTTATTTGTGGTTTATTTACATTATCAATTTAAACCCTATAACCTACTGTGCATTAAATAAATACATTTTTTCAAATATTGCATAATGTTTAAAATATGTTAAATTAATAAATTACAATATATATATAATACTATTACGTTATTTAATGTGCCAAAAATATTTTTAAAATGATTTTTTTTTTAAAAAAAATACTATTAAGTTAATTTTGGATGGAAAACAAAAGTATTTGTTTAAAATATTATTCAACTTTTAAAAATTTTAATTTTTTTTTTAATTTAATGATAATAATAATAATAATAGATGCTTTAATGATCGAGTTTGAATAAATGGACTACACATATGGACAATACTTGTTTGGTTGGAGACATAAAACAAGTGTCGGCTTATAAGTGAAGACAAAGAAATCTAAAAAATTATATATGAACTTAGTTAACATTTGGGTAGAAATGTCTATTTAATTCGAGTAGAGCTGCTAATGGAAATAAGCAAGTAGATATTTTTTTTCGTTAGCTAAATGAGGACGGAGACCGAGAATTACATTTTTCGTCCCCACTATTTTTCATATATAAATATTAATATATTTTTATATATTCAAATTAAGGCAGATATATATATATATATTAAAAGAAAAGTGTAGGGACATTAAATAAGAGGGTGGGGGGCTGTCTAAGAGCAAAGCATTGAATGTTTGCTTCCCAACCACACTTAAAACTCATCTTTCTTTTATATATATATATATATTGAGTCTATTTACTTTTTTGCCCTTGAGTTCGGCTCGACCCAATTGTATGGTTGTCAACTTGCTTACGTTAGAACCAATAGTCAAGCTTGTAAAATACCAATCCCTATTTCTAACATCATTTGCCCAATTTTAAATAGTTTAATTCAAATTAATTAATAAATTTTGCACAAGTTATGCTCGGTTGACGAAGGTAAGTCTTGTTGGATGATGAAAGTCCCACATCGGTTAATTTAGGGAATGGTCATGGGTTTATAATCTGAGAATACACTCTCCATTGATATGAGGCCTTTTGGGAAGCCCAAAGCAAAGCCATGAGAGCTTATGCTCAAAGTGGACAATATCATACTATTGTGGAGAGTCGTGTTCGTCTAACAAGTCTCACTAAAGGTTCGGTAAAGCCACAAAGTCGAGCAAAAAATATAAATGAAATTTGAGTCCCTCTTAAAGCTTGTCATAAACGTGTCAAGATCACAATGAATGAAACAGAGTGACAATTAATTTTTAATTCTAAATAAAATTAAAGCCAATAATAATATGATCATTCCCAATTGAATAGAACAAGGGAGTAAAAGTCAATTACAAACCACCAATAAAAACATCATTTTCTAGCTACTAAAAAAGGCATAACATTCCCACACACCCATGGATTAAATTATATCCTAATTTTTGTCATCATCCATAGCCAATTACCACCTTAAAGATCAATAGTTCTCGACTTTGTTTCGGATATATATATATATAGTTCAAGAATATCTAGGAGGGGGATCAAAATCTTTAACTTCTTACGTGCGATGGTATATGCTTTAATTACTTGATCTATACTCAAGTTGAATACAAGATCACAGAACTAAAATAAAACGAACATATAAAGACCAAAATAAAAGAAAAGTTCACAAATCAAATTTACGTCTCCCAATACAAATATTTTACGGGGCATTTTCGTAAACATACACGTGAATCGGTGATTTGGATTACCTCCATTTCCACCATAAAAGTAGGCATGAGTTTAAGCTACCAAATGCCCTATAAATAAAGTTACTGCAAAAGGAAACATTTAGCTAATGCAGGAAGTTGAAAATGGTGATCAGATTGGCGCAAAAAACACACAAATCAGCTAATCTTTTGAAATTATGAGAACTAGAACAAAGAATATTTGCCACCTACTGTGCAGCTTCTTTCCATTTGTTTTTGCTTTCTTCACCTTCTAATCTTTCACTACTATATTGACTTAAAATAGGGATCAAAAAAGGAATAATACCTGGATCACTAGGATAAACAGCCCCATCATCCTTTCAATGTTCAATGTAGCTTCCAAAAGCTTTTGGTTGCAACGAGAATTTTTTCTCTTCCTTGTGATCCTGCCTCTTTTTCGTGTATTGTGGTGGTCCATCTTATTGCTCGAGCTATACGGTTTACCCTTTCAATAACTTCAGGATGATCTCGAATCACTACTGTCCCTTCAGGACGTAAGATTCGGTCCATTTCCACCATTAGATCAACAAGGTTACACCTACAGGGAGCCAAAAAGTTCATTTTACTTGGTTTGATTATAAAGCTAGGATAATATGGACAGCCACAATACATGAAAAAGAGCCTATTTTTGGGATCAACAAATTAGATCAAGATAAGTTGTTAAATATGCAAATTTATATATGAAGTTCTTTTCTTTGAACAAGGTATACAAAAATTTACAATTTCATCTGGACGTTATACAAATGAAAAGACTGTACTAGATGATAAGCTTTCAGGGGGGAATGACTATTTTCGGGAACAATACGAATTAACTACTAACTCTTCTTTATCGTCATAAGTGATTGGCCTATTTATTAAGTTTTAAATTTGAAGTTTACTAAACTACCCATCATTTTGTTTCGAGTCGATAAACTCGTTCGCTTCGAATCAACTCGAAAGACCTCAATATTATTCTTTACATAAAAACTACATTGGGTTTTATGCCATGCCATTCGTTGTCAAAGCTTTAGACTGATGAATGAAAATTTGCGGTAGAAAACAAGGGAATAACAAGGCAGCAGAAAGAAATAACTGAGAATGGGTGAAAATAACAATGCAAACCTGCTCTTGTCGAAACCTGGATATCTAACGAGTGATTCGATTCCGGATACGTGGATAAAATCATAAGAACGTGGGTACGTTGAGAAAGGCTCACACCTGAAACCATCAAATATTGGTTCATCAATAAACAATGCATTCGAAACATTCTAGTTGTGAGGGTACCCACATCACCGGCCTCTCGAAACTCGAAACGAAGAAAATAAATATATACTTCAGAAGTGGCTATCAAAAAAGAAAAATTGAATGATAATGGTTTAAACTTTAAAGAGAGAATTTTAGCTAAAATCCCAGGGAAGATCACTAATCTGTTTCGAAAACATTCTCTAGGAAGAATTAAAGTAAGCAATTTGAAACTCACCAATCGTGGTAGACTCCAATTAAGCCTCGGTCATATAAAGCAGCCAAAGTGGCTGGCTTGTGAGAAGGAACAACGTTCATCACCCAAACTGGGTCAGATCTTATGGCTGCAGCAAAGCCTCCAAAAAATGCATTCATATCCATCACATTGCGCACTGCTGGGGTGCCCAGCTTCAGATTTAAAGACTTTTTGTAATAAGAAATCCTCCTTTCCCA